CTACATATTGTTTTATTGAACCAAAAAACTATGTCCCTGGGCATGATAAAAGGGAACTTGCAGGCGAAGTCAAGGCGATAGAGTGGATGGGATTCTATTATGACTGTTCAGTAATCATGGAGGTTGGCTATAGCTCCTCAAGCAGGTAACACTAGCACTAGGGAGACTGAGGCAGGGGGAGTATGCATTGAAGCCATCCTGGGCTACATAGCTAATTGGAGATTAGCATGGGCTACTTATGGCAAGTTTCCCAATTTTTCAACAACATGTTAGTGGCTCAAACCACTAACAAATTGTTATCATATAGCTCTGGGAGTCAGAAGTCCAAAAATGAGTTCCCACTGGGTGCTAACAAGGTTGAGTCCTTTCTGCCTGTTTCCCTGAAGAGTTTATTTGATGGCTTTCTTCACACTCCAGAGGCTGCTAATAGTCTTTGGTCTACCACCCACTTCTCCATCAAAGCTGACCACACAGATGCGTTTCTCACATCTCATTGCTATGACACTGCCTTACCCATATTTAGACCTTAGTGATTAAGTTCAAATCACCTAGATAACGCAGGCTAATCGGATAAGCTTAGAGAATGCCAATTAGAGCTTGATTCCATCTGCTACCATAATCCTTCTTTGCTATGGAACTTAACATGTTCATAAGTTCCAAGGGACAAAACAGGGACATCTTTGAAGGAGAGGTATTCTATCTACTATACAGATGTTAAAAGAGAGTATACTGGAGTACCTAGTGGGCCTGACGTAGCCAATGTGTGTCTGAAAAAATTGAAGAATCAGATACTGGCAATGTCAGACATAAGAAAGATTCCCACTCAACAAACCTTGCTGGTTTTGAATGAGAAAGAACCCAGGACTGAAGGCATGGTGAAGGAAGCCTGTGAACCTGGGAAGGACCCTCACCAGCAGCCTATGAGGAATGCGGACTTTAGTCCCAGAGACTCAAGGACCTGAGTTCTGTCAGCAACTGAAGACCCAAGAGGAACCCAGCCTGACCAACACGATTTTAACCCAACAAAACATGAGTTTGACTTGAAACTGACATCACTCTAAGATAATAACTATGTGTTGTTTTAAGCAGCTAAATTAGCTACGTTTGTGGTTATTTATGACATCAATAGAAAGATAGCAGAGCCAACAGTCTGTGTTGCCTAGTAGGTTCTACCGACCTGTCTTAGGGATTCTGAATCAGCAGGCTGCTCATGGTTTAATCCCTCAACAAGTTCCCATGAGGCACCATATTAGTATATAATATGATTGCTTAGGCCTGTGATGTCTTCCTCTAGTCATGAGTTTCTTTGGCGACATGCTGATCCTTCTAATTTCTACCGTCTCCCTTCAGAGCATATATTCTTCTACTTAATAAATATATATTAATCACCCACTATAGCACACATTTTGCTGCATATTGGAGAACTAAATAGAGATTTATTTCTATTTATTTCTATTTAGCCCACAATTCTTCAAATTTCCTGTGACTCACTATACAGTGGGAGAAAATAAAATATATTTTTTCTAATTTCACAAATTAGTTGCCTTAGTTTCCCTAACAAATACCATGAACTCAGTGGCTTACAAATAAAAGAAATTTATTTCTTGTGCTGGCAAGATGTCTCAGCACATAAAACCCCTTGCCCCAGAGCCAGATGGCCTAAGTTTTATCCCTGGGGCCCATGTGGCAAAGGAGAGAACCAGCTCCTAAGGTTGCCCTTTGACTTCCACTCATGTGCCTTGGCATGCACAAGAGTGCACACTTGCTCACACACACAAATAGTTCATCAATTAACTGTAATAGCATATTTTAAAAGAAATGTACTCCTCAGGGTACTGAAGCTGGAAGTCTAACACCAAGGGACCCACAAAATCAAGTTTGGTTGGTTTTCTCACTTGGACATATTGCCAGCTTTTCATTGGTTTTCACATGGCAGACAGGATGAGACCATTCTTTAGACCCCTCTATAAAAGCATGAATTGTGTTCATATGGACTGTATCCCGAGAACCTAGTTGTCTCCCCAAAGTCCCATCTCCTAATCCCATCACACTTGATTTTATCAGTGGATTTGATGAGATGGAGGGAGGTGAAGAGAGTTGGATCCCCAGGACTTGCTTTCCAGCCAGCACATCCTACTTGGCACGCTCCAGGCCAGTGAGAGATTCTGTCTCAAAAACAAGATGGACAGGTTCTGAGGAGCAACACCCAAGGTTGACTTCGGATTGCCACGTGCATGTGCACACCTGTGCACTTGAAAACCTGTACAGATTTGTGTACCCTCGGTCACACATAAAAACAGATGCATCAAAAATATAAATAAACAAAGATTATTTGTAAAATAAATGAATAAGTAAAATAAAATCAGACTTACTCAAATGTGAAACTCAGAGGAAAGGGGCAACTCTCCCATTGTTCTTCCTGAAACACATGTGCTAGTCAGCACACACTCTGCCATGGCTTGAAATTTCTGAATGGGAAAGTGACTGTATCAAGAAAAATATGAACATCATAGTGGGGAGCCAGCAGACCCTGGTCAGTCACTGGTCCTCAGATGACTACATATGCACTCTGTATGATACATAGGGATACATATGTGATACATACTGATGTGGATCACATCAGTGACATTCTTACCTTAATCTAGTGATGAAAATCTAATACAAAGAGTAGGAAAAACATACAAATGTTTCTAATACATTAGGACATTCTACAAATAACTGACCTTTATTTCAGAAAAGTGTCAAAGGTCATGAAAGACTAATGATTGAGGACCTGCCTTTAAGTGGAGGAGACATGGAAGGAATAAGAACAGAGGCTGTGAAGATTTCAGGGTTAGATCTTAGAACAGGAAACAAAAAATACATGGAAAAACCCCTGGTATTTGAATAGTCTTGAACTTAAAGTAGTTTGCATTTAACACTAGATTGCTTTTCTGTTACTGTGTTAAAAATACTCATCAAAACCAACTGGGGGAGAAAAAGGTTTACTTTTACTTAGAGGTTATAGTCCATTATCAAAGGAAGTCGGGGTGGGAACTCAGGCAGAATTTCCTGGAGGCAGGAACTGGAGCAGAGACAATAGAGGAGTGCTATTTACTGACCTGATTTCCTGTCTTTTATAGACTGATTTCTTATCCAACCCAGAACCACTTGCCCTGTAGAGGCACCACCTACCATGGGCTACCCCCCCACACACACACACACATTAATCATTAATAAAGAAAATGCCCTTCAGACTTACCTACAGGCCAGTCTGATGGAAACAATTCCTCAGTTGAAGTTTCTTTTTCCCAGTGATAAGGTAACAAAAACTCACCATCACAATGATATTGTAGCCTTCACTCTAAAAGGAGTGGGACCTGGGAGAATGGAGCCCATTCATGAAGTAGACTACAGTCTCATGCAGTAGCCAACTTTATTCAGAGCATCAGGCAATTCATACCGTAGGGGTTAAAAAGAGTCACACAAGTAAAGTATCCAATGACAAGGGCAAGCTGAATGTGGCAGGCAAGTGGGAGGTGGTGGGCAAGGCCGCATATGACAAAAACATGTTTTCCTGTAGAGCCATATAAATAAATAACAATAACTAATTGTAATGAATAATCCGAAGAAAACTCACTCCTGTCTGGTCCACCTGGAAGGACCAGGAACACACATTCCAGGAACAATTCCATGTTTTTAAAGAAACTGAGGTCAAAAGACTCTTGTCTTGTTTTCTTGGAGTTTTCTCACAAGCACTCAGAAATCTCCTCACAGGATTCCATTCTTGGGCCATGTTCTGACAGCCATGTAAAGTTTCTGGATTTGTTAATTGCACTGTGATAATGTAAGATTTTAGGGGAAGTGGAATGAAATGAGCTGCTGTCATGGTTTGTGCACATGACCTTATGCAGCTAGTAGGTTCATTTACAAACAAATCAAAACTCACTCCCTGTAATGCCACCATGGAAGTTCAAGGAGTGGGGAGGCTGAGGCGGGAGGATTTCTCTGAGTTCAAGGCCAGTCTGGAGTACATAGTGAATTGCAGAGCAGCCTGGGTTACAGCGTGAAACCCTATCTCAAAGAAAGAAGGAAGGGATTCGGGGAGAAGGCAAGAAGGGAGGGAGGAAGGCGGAATAAATATCTTTAAAACCATCGTATTTAGAGCGAGACTTCCAGGTCGGCCTCTGTTGAGTGGTTCTCACTTGATTGTCCTAGTCATGTCTGGGTGTCTAAAAATCTTCTCTCCAAAGTAGCCAATCAGAGACAAGTAGGAAGCCCAGTGCACAGTTTGGATTGAGTGGAGTTGGGGAAGCTGGGAACTGAATTGAGACAGGCCTGCTAATTTCACTCAGACCACCTGCCTAGCTTGGATACAAGCCAGTGACCTAAACATGATGGGCTATTACCAGCCCTCTGCTGGCATTCTGAAATGACTGCAGAGGAGACACATTGGGAAATGCCAAGAGCTGCATGCGGCGTAGGAACAACAGAGGAGAGATGATTTTTCAGGAGTATTCTGAAACACCTTACACACACACACACACACACACACACACACACACACACACACACTTATATCACACACATTTCATAAGCACACAATCATCAGGAGCTCTGCTATGTGAATTAACAGGACTAGTCACCCAAAATAAACTTTTTCTTAATAAGTTGTGACAATGTACAGCATTATCAATGGGTCGGGTGGAGGTCCTCTAAAGCAGACCCTTTCATCACATTTCCTAGGGCATTAGAATGGAAACTTTTAAATACAACAATTACTTTCTAGTTGGTTCTTTTCCTGTCAAGCATGCACGCAACTGCTTTGTGTTTTGTTCTGAGACCATTCATAATATAATGAGTGATAGAGGAAAAAGAAAAGCACTATGATCCTGTCACCCACAATGGAACAAATACATTTATTAACAGGAATTCCCCCCAAAGTCTTAGGAGCTTCACAAAGTCTGTTTTATTTCTTTCCTCTGTCTTTTTTTTTTTTGTGCATTCATACTATTATAAAGTGAAATGTCTCTCTCTTTTATTTTAAATTATTGTTATTGTTCCCTGTGTATGAACCAGTGACTCACACTGTGTCAGATGATAATACACCAGCAAATTTGATATTTAATGGATATAATAGTTGTAATAAAGAAATTAAATCAGATGTCATATGCAGAACGTACATTCTTCTTTGTCACTAACAATAAACTGAATTATAGCAGGCTAGATACTACAAATCGAGTTGTTGGAATTGAAAGTGGCTCTTCTCAGATGAACAGAAGAGGCTCTGGAGGCATCCAAGGAATTGGCCACGCCACGTGATGCACTTCTCTGGTGCAGTTCTCTTTCTCAGTCTTTCAGCTTCATTCGCCAGAACGATCGACTCCAAACTCCGCCCCGAAGAACATCACACTGCTACCTCTGGCTGTACCATACCCTAGAAACCAGGGCCACAATTTTACCTTTCCTTTATTGAAAATGTTTGTTTCTTTACGTAATACATCCCTCTACTCCTACCACCTCCTCCGCACCTCCCCTCCCATTCAGATCCACCTCCTTTCTACCTCTCATTAGAAAAGAAACAGGCTTCTATAGGATAATAATAAGATGAAGTAAAACAAAAACCAAGACAAGGGAACTGGCAAAGCAAACAAAAGAGCTCAAGAGAAGGCACAAGAAATGGAGATCCCATGAAAATACTAAACTGGAAGCTGTAATATTGATACAAAGGACCTGTAGGGTAAAAAGTGGAAGAAAAAAACATAAATAAAATAAAATTAAAATTAAAAAGGTAAAAAACAAACAACAACAAAAACAAGAGCCCTGACATGCATTACAAGACAAGGAACCTCCAGTGGTACTACTGAATCCATCTTCTCTTGGTCATCTTCTGCTGGGCATCCAGCTTATCCTTAAAGTAGTTTGTTTCCCCAGTGAGTCTCACTTGGATGAAACTAAATTCCTATTTGCCAGTGGTCATCAGTTGGAGAATTCATCTGGGTTAGGAGTAGGGGCATGTGTCCACTTCTCCTTTTAGCTCCAGGGCCCCAACTGCTACAGAGCCATGCCAGCAGGGCCACAATTTTAATATGCATATAATTTCACATACTGATGAATGAGTCCACCATGGGTAAACAGCAGGGAGGGCAAGACGGAAAACTCATTTGTCCATTTTCCCACTTGGAGGCGGTTACTTTTTAAATTACTGATATTGGACACTGTAGGAGTGCCCTTTTTCATATACCCTAAAGCACTCCACTGGCCCCAGGAGTCACCAAGGCTAGTGGGTTTTAATAGTTATAGATCTTAAATGGAGGGTTAGAAAGTGTTTCTTTTCATTACAATTACAACAAGGAATTAACCCCAAGGGTATCCACTTAATTTCATAATATATAGACTGGAACACTAATGTGGCTCTTCTACAGTGTAATAAAGAGGCAACAGGCCCTTCTCTCCCCGGGGTGGGTTTCTGTAAAATGTATGTCACACACACACACACACACACACACACACACACACACACACACACACACTAAATGAAGATGATTTGAAGTTAACAAGCTCCATAATGTGACCAGCTCTGGTGCCTGGTGTGAGCAGCCCTTTATAGACAGTGAGCCTGGTGTGAACCAGCGTTCACAGGCAGCAAGGCCTGCTGCTCCTCCTTGCAGTGGGAGCTCACTCCCAGCACTTGTCTTTGAATCGCTCCACTGACACAGGAAAACAGAAAGTGAGAGAAGGAAAGACCATTTACAATTAAATCCAGAAAGTCACCAGGATGACAGAGAGGCATAGAGTGGGACTTGTTAATTGCCTCAGCACTGAGATGAGACCAGTAGTGCATGCTGGCCAAGTCTGGTCATGTGAACTTAATTCTGCACTCTGTCAGCGACCTCAGCTCAGTTGTGGGAACTCACTTCATGCTGACAGGAACCTGGGGCAATACCAGGGTTAAGGTTGCCATCTCCAGGCTCCAAGTGTCTGAAGCCACTTCCTGGCAAAGATTTGATATCCGTGGTTCCTCCCGTTAGCCCTGGCCATTAAAGGCGTTTTTATTTCCCAGGGCTTTCATGATGTCGGATGAAGGTCTGCAGGACAGACGAGAGGAAGGACACGATTTCAGAAACAAAGCTTCAGAAAGAACCGGTCTAGGGACATCAGGAGAGGCAAATGGCAATTCAATAAAGCACAACCCTTCCAGGAGAAGGTTGTTCCCGTATATTAGACATTTCCAACATCGTTGTAACATTTGACCTGCTCCAGGCCTCCCGCCAGCCATACCCTGGGACTCATTTCTTCCTTGCTGCTGAAAGTGTCAGCGAGGTAGAAATCTGAAGACTTCCCAGTCAACTGGGGGGAAACTAATGATCCAAAGAGAAGAAATAGCCAGTCACCCAACTCATTTGTTCACATCTATCATGCAGATCACTTTTCCAGAGCCAGATAAGGTTATATATAAAAGCCACAAAAGAACTCTGGCTTCAATGAAAAGTGCCCTTTTATAAATCAAAGTCCCTAGCTTCCCTCCTGCGATAGGAAGCAGTGGCTTGAAGCAGATGTCAAGAGGGCTGCAGCAGAGCACCAGAGATGGGGAGTCTCTAGGGAGGACCATGGCAGACACATAGCACAAGAGAGAGCTGGGAAAGTTCAGAGTCTTCTTTGACTGGCTCAAAGCTACAGAAACCATTTCTAGAAGAGTTCAGTATTGTTCTCAAGGCCCAAGTAACACAAAGGGAAGGGACAAAGGACAGAATGAGGAATCTATCAGAAACCAGTAGGGCAACCATGTATGTGGTTTAGCATGACCCTCTAATCAGCCAAGCAGCCATGTCTTTATAAGTGCAGTCCAGGGGCCCTCCAGGAAAAATGCCCAAGAAATGAATATGTGGATCACTGACCATACTGCCTCCTCCCTTCCTCACTAATCTTCATAGAATAGTGTGTCTCTGCATGCTCAGATCCATGAGCATACAAAACTTTGACTCATTAGAAATTGTGCTTATTTCAAAATAACTCCTAAAGACTCCTTGCCCAGTGACTTTGTTTTTTCTAGACTCATGGCCTGTGGGAACTTGAGGACTTGAAGTATTTAAAAGATATATATACCCACTTGTTTTAGTTTCTCTAAGCATGGCACACCCATATCTGCTCTTGCTTTTAACAACTATAATTAAAAAGAATAAGCTCACCTGTGTATTTCGTTCTTTAAATCTTTTTGTGCTGAAAACTGTCAATGCTTCTTATTTTATTTATTTATTAAATAGAAAATGAGTACAAAACAATCCTCTAATTATAATTACATGCAATATACACCTTACAATGTTGATTTTCTGAATCTTCCCTTGGCACTATCAAATCAAATCATATTAAATATCAGCCTATCCAATAACAAGCAATTTAATTTCACAACCAACCCAGAGAATATCTAAATTTAGTATACCAGACAATTTGTCTCTGTTGGGTTATTTTGAGATATTTTAGCTAAACTAATCTACAATAGCAATTTTCACATTGTTCAAGTAACAAATGACTTCAGCTTGCTGGTATTTTATCACTATGAGGGGCTCAAATATGTTCATATCAAATCATACCGGGTAAAATGTCTCAAATATCTACTACTGTTTATTTTGTTTATATACTGTTTGCTTTTTAAGCCTTCTTAGACACCTTAATCTTTTTGATATCTGATAAAACATCACACTATTTGATATGCTTAATTTCACTTTGTTATGAGTTAACTGAAATTCTGCCAAAACTTAATTTAATATTTCTTGAATGATATAAACACGACATTACATAAATAGAATAGACAAAACCATGAGTCACCCATTACTTTCCTCTATGATAGAAGCCGTTTCAAAAAATGGGATTCACACACATGCATACAGGTCCTCAAAAAGGCCCTGAATCTTTTTAGATGTCAACATTGCTACCAGAGGAGAATAAAAGGCATTTTTTTTCTAACTCTGCATGGCCGTAAAATAAAAATTAATCCTCTAACAATTGTTTGAAATGTTGCCAACATGTACCATGCTAGCCAATAACCCTGAAGACAGTGGTCCAAAACCAAAAGTATCCATTTCTGTCATAAAACCATTTCTTCTTTCACAGTTCTCGTCTTGTCAATGGAACAAATAATTTTCTAAGGCTGCAATATTTTTGCTGTCATTGTTTGTTTGATGTTTGTTTTGGGGTCTTTGTGGAGTTATTCACTACCCTTTATTTCTCCTTGATAATCATTCCCATTGTATATAGTTTTGTGTTAGGTTAGAACTTTCTTATTTAGACAAAAGGGGGAGATGTGGTGGACAGCTGTTTGAGCCATGCCCTGAAGCATCGGCCCTAGTGATTCAGCTGTAGCTATTACACCCACCTATGACCTTGAGGTACCAGCCTCTGGGGCGGGGCCACCGAGGACCCTTAAGACCTAGAATGCCCTCTCTTCTTGGCTATCTCGTGGTTCTGGATCCTAAGATCTTGGACCAAGCTGTTCAGCATGGGACATAGCTCAACTTTCCTGGACCCTATGATAAATCTCCCATGATTGTGAGTTTACCCCCAAATAAATTCCTTTGATCATTAAATAGACTCCGTGGATTAATCCAAATATTATTCCATGGTTTTGTTTTATTTTTCTAAAGAGGCACTCTTTCATCATTCCGTCTTTTTCCCCGCTTTGACACAAGTCAAATACTATCAGGCTCATGCTTGGACGTGACAGACAGACCCTTAGATAAGAGTCTGGGTCTCTGAGCTGAAAGGAGAGGATAAGTAGTCATAATGAAGAAATGGAATTAAAATCTCTGAAGTCACCTAAACAGTGAATGAAGATGGAGAAAACATGAGAGAAGCATGGTCTGTGGGAAGGGCAAAGTTCTGGGCCAAGGCTGTCCCACATTTTAACTCTATAGATATTTCAAAGAGTATGGTAAGCAACTCTGATATTATTCCTGACAGTTCAAGGTTGGAAAACCAGCTATCAATTTTATTAGAGTTGTGGTTATCAGGGACCTTGATGAGAAAGCTTCAGGGAGGGCTGAGGGTGAAAACACGGTTAGCCTGTCTGCAAAAGAGAAACAAGTTAGAACAAAAGATGTTAAGGAAATCCCAGTGAAAAGGAGCAGAAGATACTGATGTTGTACCTGGGGAGGGTTTTAGTGTGTAGGTGATGGGGTGGAGGTGTGTGCCTCTGTGTGTGTGTGTGTGTGTGTGCGCGCGCGCGCGCTTTATGCACGCACATGTGTATAAGTGTGCTTGCCTTTGTGCTCAGTGAGGTTCAAGGAGGATGTCCTGGGCCTGCTCTATCACTCTGCACCATATTCCCTGGAGACAGGATTTCTTACTAACCTGGGGTTGAGCTGTTGTCAAGCAAGCCCTAGAGATCCTCCTGTCTCTGCATCCAATAGTATTGGGGTAACAGGCACGTGACCATGGTTGATATTTTACATGGGTGCTGAGGATTTGAACTCAGGCCTCATGCTTTTGTAGCAAATGCTCCTCTCCGCTGAGCTATCTGTTCAGCTCAAGTGTTAATAAAAGCATTTATTCATTTCTTGTGCATGTTGTGTGCGTGTGTGCCTTTGTACACGTACACATGCCACCTGCATGCAGTAGCCTGAGGTCAGAAGAAACTCAGATCCCCTGGAACTGTAATTATTGATGGTTGTGTGCTAGCATGGGGGTGATCAGAACCAAACCCAGTTTCCCCGCAAGAACAGTAAGTACTCCGAACTTCTGAGCCACCTCTCCAGCTCCTCCAGTACTTTTTTCATGATAGAAAACAAAGAGTGTACTTGGTTATCAATGTGACTGATGTACAAGAATGAAACTGTGGCTTTGCAGGCAAACGAGGGGAGGAGATCCAGTAGAGACCAGTGTAGGAGTTCATCATTAGTGCTGGCTGAAGGCAGAGGGGGCGAGGAGGCAGACAGCCTCTTTCGATCTGTGGAACAGCTGCCACTGCTCAGAAAGTGTCCGTGACCCTAAGTCTAAGGTGCTTCCTGGCAGACAGAATCTTCTGCAGCCCTCCTTGGCTCTCTTTTAAGCATCACACACTGTGTTAACTGGCTCCAGTATTTATCTCCCAAGAAACAACGCAGACCTGGCTGCTTCTTCTTCTTCTTCTTTTTTTTTTTTTTTTTTTTTTTTTTTTTCTTCTTCTTCTTCTTCTTCTTCTTCTTCTTCTTTGGTCAGGCTATAACCTTAATTCCCCAAATAGAAAATAGAGACCCCAGAGAAGGAGCTCCATGTATAAAAGTTAAATGAATAAATAATGAAAGTTCTAAAAAAAACCAGATCTTTTCTAGACTCCAGATGCTTTAACATGTGCCATTACCACTATCAAGTACTTCTTTTCCTACAAAAACATAAAAATAAATAAGCAAAATAGAGAGGGGGGGGAGAGAGGGGGAGAAAAGGAAGGAAGGAAGGAAGGAAGGAAGGAAGGAAGGAAGGAAGGAAGGAAGGAAGGAAGGAAGGCATGGTGACAAAGTCTGTAGGTAGTTGGGTCTGCAGTAGTTGGTTCTTGAGAGTTTGGTGATAATCAGCTGGCAGCCCTCGGCACGCTACAAGCTGCAAACTGAGACCGTTAAAGATGAGCAGGAATTGCCAATACAAAGGATTCCCACTCATCCTGCTGAGGCTCTGCACTGTGTGGACAAATGTTGGTGCAGAGAAAGGATCATTGGTTTAACAAACACCCAAGACTCAAAACCATTAAAAAGGAAGAGAATTATCCTTGGATGTTTGCCTAGCACATGATATTTGTCTTCTATAATTTTTGCTATTTTCTACCAAATCACTTCAGAGTTCAGTTAATATTGCTGTGCTGGTTTTCCACAGGGCTGTAAAGTGAACCTCGGAGAGATTAAGCGCTCTCCACAAGGGCAGTTATCTGCAGCTGCTGAGCAAAGGCTCACGATGATCACGCTGCCTGCTTTTCTTAGCCTGACTAAGCTGACTAGCCTTCCGAGGGAATGAAGGGTTGGAGAGGTGTGAGAAGCACACTGGGCACTACAGATAATTTTGATTTCACTTCTTTGTGCTGACTTGTACTGATCTGCACCAAGAATATTTATTAAAGTAAAAATAGTTCATTCATGAATATAAACCCTGCTATCATGCTTATGCCTTGGTTGAGTTACATCAAAAAACAACTGGACATTGTCCAGTGGCCTTAGATTTAACCCCTTGTTATACCAGTAAAACAGAAGGAACCCACGCTTACATCTTGGAATCCTTTCAGGTTATCTTTCGAAGGTAAACTGGTCATCACTGCCAAACGGAAAGAAAGCAGTGAAAGGAACTTGGGAACTGAGAAAATAGAGCTATTCTCCTGGGAAGGGAGGTGGAGAAGGAGAGAGAAAGAGAGAAAAAGAGAAAGCTCGGTGGACTGCAACAGGGCGTTACCCTCTTGCGCCAATCTTCTGATTTTTTAGTAGTGTGGGAAGTTTTGTTTTAAAAGCTGGTCATTCTTTTAAGATTGTGTTCCCAATTGAGAAATAACATTCCATTCTTCTCTGTCTCCAGTGTAGGAGAATTTCACACCCTGGTTCCAAACCACATAGTAAAATAAAAACATTCTGCATGGGGTGTAGAATGACTCTCATAATCTCCTTCGGACCATGCAAAGATTTTTGCAAAAATGAGTATAAAGCGATATTGTTTGATTAGGTCCCTCAGATGAGATCAGCACTAAGCAGCAGAAGAGGGGAATAGATCATCTTACCCGTGAGCTGTGAGCCCTGGCTCCCTCCCTCCTCCCGTCTTTCTTTGCTTTTTTGCCAATGTAGACCTTTGAAAACAACTGGGCTAGGTCTTGTCGCTAACAATGCCATCCTCCAGCTGGTGTAGAGAAGCAGCTCACTTAATAACTAATTCCTGTCTCTGTCTCTCCCTTACTCTGATCCAGTCAACTGTTGGCCCTTAGCCTGGATACATTTCATTTTTCACACACAATCCAAACAAGGTTGAAAAATCTTGAAGACAACACTATACCTGTTAAGCAATACTTTAAAAATAGAAATAAATATATTTCAAATTAAAAGCAAATTCAAGTTTATTTCCTATAGGATAAGAATGACATATACATTTGATGCATGTGGGTTTGTTTTAAAAATTCACTGTTGAATGAAAAGTAAACCATGGAATAGCATAACCAGATGCTTATATATAGAGATAAAATAATTTTAAAATAACATAAAACTTTTACTTTTTTTGGTTTTCTACACTTTCTATATAATTAAAATACCTACTTATTTAATTCTTCATTTAAGAGCTTCTGTAATGTTAAAATACCTATAGTCCTAGTTTTTCCTTCTCCCCTTTAGATACTTCTTACATCTTGGAACAGACATTTGTGGATATATAATATATATATATATATATATATATATATATATATATATATATATATATATATATTTGGATTAGGCCAAGTTTCTCCTCTCTGAGTCAGTTGATAAGGCAGGGATTTAGAAAGCAAAAGCATTATATAATCAGAATTTTATTAAACTGTCTGGGATTTTATAGATCATCTGTTGAAACCCTGCATTTTATAATCGAGAAACTGAGAAGGATAAAGTTAGAAAAATATTGAGAGCTGATGTGTGGGTGGAACTGATGGCTGTGATGGGAGTTGAATGAAATTTTCACATTGGTAATTATTTCAGAGTGCTCTGAACCTGGCAAGAACAGATCTAGCTGAGAGTACAACCCTGTCTTCCCAATTCCTTCTCTTCCCCACTGAATTTTCTGAGGCTTTGCAGCTCCCACCATCAAAATGCTCGCATCTCTGGGGAATCTATGCAGCCAAGGTTACCAAGCTCAGAGATAGTGCTATGGTACTTACTGGAACTCTACATTCTTGGGAGAACTCATGCAATGGATATGTTGACCCCATTCAGCTTCCCTTCCAGTATCCAGGCTGTGGAGTCCCTTGCTTAGTCAAGGGACTCCCCTTATCCTGTCCCTCATCTTTGGTCACAACAGCCCCAGCCCAGGCACACCTATCTTGAACATGGTATCCTGCACGTTGATGGTTGATGGTGGACATAAGAACCTAGAAATCCCAGTGGATGCCCTCCAGACCCCAATCCACAACTGTGATAGGACCCATGTTCAGTGCGTGTTTGTGAATGGTAGGCAGAACTTCCTGTTCTTCATAATACTGTTGCCTTTTAAACAATGCCGAGATCACTACAGATGCCAAATAAGAGATTGTGAATTGGATCGAGAGTAAGTCCACATAGGTTCCCATGAAAATACTCCAAGGGAATGTACATACTGATTTAAGTATTTATAAGGGTGTAAGGGTAAATAAGCAGGCACTGAAGACAAGAAGTCTTTTTTTTTTTTTTTGATTCAGTGTGATTTTATTCTATAGAGGAAAGTTTGGATGCACAATGTCTCCCATAGGCTCATGTGTTTGAACATGTGGCCTAGCTGAATAACATGAGCTCCAGGCTCAGTGAGAGATCCTGCCTCAGAAAATATAAGAAAAAATGGATGAGGGCACCCCAAGGCTTCCACTTATCTCTGTGCCGACAGATACACACACTCACACAAGCATATCTCGTACACATGCCTGTACACATACACACAAAATACAGTTTACATTTATTTTATTTTATGTGTGTGAGTGTTTTTCCTGCATGGATGTATGTGCCCCACATGGGTACCTGGTGCCCAAGGAGGCAAAAAGAGGCCATCAGATCTCCTGTAACTAGAGCTACAGACAGTTATCAACCACCATGTTGGTGCTGGGACCTGAACCCAGGTTCTCTCTAAGAGCAGCCAGTGCTCTTAACCACTGATCCACCTTTCCAGCTTCCAAAAATATTTTAAGAATCCATGTATGGACCAGTAAGTAACCTGTTGGAAAAAGAGAAATGATTCACAGTTCATCTAAACAAAGCAGTATTATCAGACAACGTTTTATTACCTGGAGGTGAAGCAGGATGTGCGCACGAGGGGCCGGCAACAGTACTTCAGGTAGAGTGGTCAGTCCCAGGTCATCAGCAGACAACCCTGGCATTCCCTGCAGTGCAGAGTAAACACTGAGCCTTGGGACACTAAGAAAGAGTGAGTGTTGCTTCTCTGTGGCCTAGAAACATTCTCCACTGTTGTCTCCATCTCATTACCACCACACACACCAAAATCATGAGCTGAATGGAGCAAGTCAGAAAGGTAATGAAAGAAAGACATGAAGTCTTACATGCTCTAAGCACTTGGCAAAACTGGAAGCAGAAAATTACTTCTGTTTTTCTTCTCAATCTGTGTAGTGACCAGGCAGGAAGTCACAGGGACCAAGCCATGACAGTCATAAACCTTTATGGGTCATTTGCATAGAACCAGCTTTCTCCTGCATTTGTATGTGGCAGCTTACATGTAACCCTTAGTCAGCAGTTTACAGTCTTTTACCCAGTTACCCCTAGTTTTCTTCACATGTTGAAGGCCCCGGCCCTAGTGTATTTATGTGTACATGTGTCACATAAATTAGAAACATACTTTAAAGGAATTGTTTGGCATTGTAAAGATGTGATTGCTAATGTAACTGGTAAGCCTCTTCGACCTTTCTGACTTGCTCCATTCAGCTCATGATTTTGGTGTGTGTGGTGGTAATGAGATGGAGACAACAGTGGAGAATGTTTCTAGGCCAAGATGGCCAAGAACTCCCTTCACAGTGAAGTACTGATCCCCCTACCTCTGGTTTCCACCTATTTCTGCAGACCTGAGTCACCATGCCAAGTTTAGAAGGAGCTGGAAACAGGACCCAGTGTTTCACGAAGGCCAAGCAAGATCTCTACCAACTGAGCTACAGCCCAGTGTCTCAGCTTGCTTTGAAATTAGTCTTGGTGTTTGCTCTCAGCCACAATTGCACTTAGGTGTATGTCTTACATGTTGTAGTGACCCTGATTTTTCATTTGGACATTTAATTATCAGTGGCCTTATTTATCCTGGAGGTACTGTCCCTCCTAGGGTTAATTAATTCTTAGAGATAATAAGAGAAGGCTACATTTCATATGCAAACCAACCAGTCCAGAGCCCCAATTACTTCCTTTCTTAGCCACTATGATACTTCTCTAACTGTCCTGGGGCCAAAGCAGGATGAAAGAGGAAGTCCCTACATCTCAAGAAAGTCCCTACATATTGGAGGCCACTGAAGTTATTTAAACTAGTCAGTCATGGGTCCTTTGCCCATTCTTCCTCATGGAAACAACAATAATGACTCTTAGTAACATTTTTTCTTTACCTCTCCTGTCAGATAGCCAACCCTGGTGCCTCCTTTTCTGGTCCTGTGTTATGGTATATGCCCTCTTCTCAGGAACTGTGAATAAACAACCACCTTTTCATTAACAATCATCTTTTGACTTATTGATCTCATGATTGTCTAATAGAAATAAAAACTGCATTTCAAAGCAGTTATCTCATTTGACTTTTATGGCATGCTTACAAAGTTGAGTTCATTTCTTCTTCTTCTTCTTCTTCTTCTTCTTCTTCTTCTTCTTCCTCCTCCTCCTCCTCCTCCTCCTTCTCCTCTTCTTCTTTTTCTTATTCTCTTCTTCTTCAACAAAAAATTAACTCATCCATTTCAAACACATTTTTTAAAAAACAATGTGCTGTAAGATAAAAAATAACTTATCTAGTATAATAGACAGACTAGGGTTCAAATCCTTCCTGATATAAGTCCAACCTCAAGAATCCCAATTCTTCTATATGTGAAGTTCTCAGCTGTGGTAGTTTGAATGTAATTAGAACCCCAAAGCTCATAGGGAGTGGCATTATTGGGAGGTGTGGCTTTGTTGGATTAGGTATGGCCTTGTTGCAGGAAGTGTGTCGCTTTTGGGGTGGGCTTTGAGGTCTCATAAATGCTTAAATCATGCCCAGTATCCTAGGTACCTTCCTGTTGCCTTCAAATCAAGATGTAGGACTCTCAGCTCCTTCTCCAAAACTATGTCTGCCTGCATACTGCCATGCCCTGTCATGATAATAATGGAATAAACCTCTGAACTGTAAGCCACCCCAAGTAAATGTTTTTCTTTATAAGACTTGCAATGGTCATGGTGTCTCTTCACAGCAATAGAAACTCTAACTAAAACAAAGACCTACTGACCAAGACTCCTGTGGGTCAAGATGTTCTCTGGAGACATCCACTCACCAGGGGTGAATCGTTAATCCTTCCAGATTGTACCGTGTGATTTTTACATCTCAAATTACAGCATCTATGGGCTTCAGACAGCCATAGAAAGAACAAAGGAACTCATCTGTAGCCATAACTATCATTGCCTATAAGTGACATATTACATCCATTTTCAGACCATGAGCCAGAGGCTTCATCTAATCTAGCTGCAAGGCAGATCATAAAATATAATAGAGTAAACTGACATCCAATGGGGACTATTGCACCAATACTTCCACCAGTTTTGAGCTTTCCCCCTAAGGAAATGACCTTACATACTGCCAGCATAGTTGAAGGTACACAATGCAGTCATGGCTATTGTGTTAAAAAGAATCAGTTATGTTCATTCCCTTTTGACTGCATGGATACTCCAAGAGTCTAATCTGCCATTAGACTGCCATCCTTTCTAGCTATGCAGAACATCAACATATATTTACTGGTAGAATGTCTTCTTTGATTATTTATACTTTAAAATAAAAATGACTAAAATTGGAGTCTACTTTGTTTACATAATCACTTTTGGGGGCTAGAGATATTTCTCAGAGGTTAGAGCACTGGCTGCTCTTCTAGGGGACCCGTGTTTGATTCCCAGCACCCACATAGTGACTAATAACCATCTGTAACCTCCAGCACCAGGAGATCCAATGACTTCTTTTGGCCTCTGCAGGCAATGTGTAGAAATACCAGTAGGTATTACACAGACATACCAGTAGGCAAAATACCATATGAATGGTGTATGCTAGTAGGAAAAACACACATTATATAATAATCACTTTTGGCTCTAGCTAAAGGTTTGATTTGCTTTCATTGGCAATCGTTTTGATGCTTTAATATTTATTTCCTACATGCAAAACCATGCAAGAATATCTGTCTCAATTCAAATACTGCTAAGTCTGAAGAAAATTAGACTGTTCTTAGGTACCAAAGAAATTACATCAACCTGCCTTTCCTCCTTTGAGCCACTTTATTTCTATTTCTAATGGCTGCTTCTTTCTCCTCTACTGAGTGTGTCTTTCAAAAGCTCCTTAAGAGACGATTAAATTGGTACAAATTGCATGACTCCACATAATTTTCCAATTGAGCTGCCTTTGGGGATACAACTACTCGGGCAAAATATGGCTGCTAGGGTCAGTGACAACCTAAGATTTACCAAAACATATAACAGGATACACTGTGTCTGTGTCTGTGTGTAATAGCCCAGGCTTGCCTTGAATTCCTGGTGTGGCTGAGGCTGACCTTGACCTCCTGATCCTCCTTCTTCTACTTCCTAAGCTCTGTAATTTCAGAAGTGTGTCACATGACCAGCTGTACACTGTGGTGGCTTGAACAGTGCCCAAAGGGAATGACACTATTAGGAGTTGTAGCCTTGTTGGAGGAAGTGTGTCACTGTAGGGGTGGGCTTTCAGGTCTTTTTCTCAAGCTTCACTCAGAATGACAGTCAGTTGACGTCCTGTTACCTCTGAGTCAAGATGTAGGACTTCCAGCTCCAGGTAGCACATCTACCTGCACACTGCCATGCTCCCTGCCATGATGATAATGGACTGAACCTCTGAAACTATAAGCAAGGCACCTCAATTAAATGTTTTCTTTAGAAGAGTTGCCGAGGTCATGGTGTCCCTTTACAGCAATGAAAACCCTAACTAAAACATATATTCTCTAACTCACCTCTCAGCTTCCCTTCAAAGAGAGCTTTGGGTGTGACAATGACTCGACATTTCAAAGATTACTCTTTAAAAGCAATGAGAATGTTTAAGTGAATAGAGCTAACTTGTTACTTTCAGATTAACGTTGTCTTAGTAGTTTGGAAACTATGAATGTACTGAACCATTGGGTTGTTTAATCTAGGCCTAGTTAACAAGTTGCAGAAGACAAAGAAATAGATATGAAAAACATGTCTTCTAGGCAATTTTATCTCTGTCAGTCATAGAACTTCCATAAAATGATATGTACAACCTTTTACTGATTTTTTTTCTTATTTGTTGCAATGTTGGAATTTTCTAGTTTATATCTTGAATGAGTCTAGAAATGGGATCATTACCATGAACTAAAAAGAAATGCAACTTAGGGTATGTTCTCAACCATCCACTGAACTCAGCAGAGAAGCACAGTATTATAAATTAAAACAAGAAGGAAACATAATCAATTATGAGCAGAGAGCATGACCAGTCTGCAGGTAGCATCAATGACATCTGAATAGCATAACCTTTGTAGAGTCCCATTCAAACTATGCTTGCTCAATGCTGCAAAGCTTGAGTCAGATTCCCTAACTACAGTGCTGGTACATTGTCCATTCCAGCTCCCTCTTAACTGAGAGCAGAAGATGAGGGAAAGTTAAAGGGAAGTGAGTTCCTGCAAACAAACAGCAGGACCTCTGTGTTGGACACATGCTAATTTTTCTGCTAAGATCTAAAAAGTATAATTAATTGCATATTCTGCATCTGAGATCCCAAAGACAACAAGAGAGCCAGCCAGACCTCCCTGGGCATAACAAAATATTTAACTGGAGTGTGTTATTCATTCAAAATTTTGTTTTCTATTGTTTATAATAATAGCCCATCTGACCATCAACAGATTCAAAAGGATGTGAGTCCAAATGGCCAGGGTAAGTATTCTAATTAAGAATCAAGATTTAGGAGTCATCCAGTCAATTACTTAGCCCTCAGCACAAACAAATCCAATGAATTCAAAACTATATAGAGATCTTAATCACCAATCCATCCATCACAGTTAGGTTTGGGATCCTGTGAGCAACAAATATGATGTTCCAACTGCCAGGATGTGACAAGTTGGCAGGAAAATAAAAGGCAGTCATGATACTGAGTATTATAGGTGGCCAGGTGTCAGGTCCCAAGCCTTCACACAATTGAAAATGATTAGAGAATATTCCCCTTGATAAAGGTTCAGGGCACAAGATGCTGTTGAGCCCAGAAAAGGCAACTTTTCAACTACAGCTAAGGGAAGGTTAGAGGGGCCTAAGTAATAGAAAATAGCCAAGACCGATTTTGAAGCTTCCAATCAAATATAACAAAGTGCATTCTTTTTTCCTGGGGATTGTGGCCAGGTGAGGGACCAGCTTATGAAGGCAATCTCTGTGTGACATGATTTATACGGAGGCCCACACAACGGCACACAATGGCATACCAGACAAACTACATGGCTTTCTAAATGAGATGGTTGCAAGATGAGAAGTAAACAAGATCATACATATGAAGGAACAAATCACAGCCTTCTCCAGTCACACGTTCAATGTTTAATCTCTAAATTATCACAACCAGAGAAATCAACATTTCTATGACTGTGGGATGAGTGACACATGGTTTAGTGTTCTTCCCTCCAGGGAGTCTACTTTCCCCAAGAGGCCATGCAAAGAGGCTCATTCGGTCTTTTTTCTGGTATGAGATCATTGACAATGCCAGCTTTGATGTTTATTATCTCCATACAACAAAATTAGAAATATGACCCCCCAAAAAAAGAGGAGGAGAAAAAAATTGAAGGTGGAACAGACTATCCTAACATGTTCTTATGAAAGAAGTTCTGTTCTAATGAATTTTTTTTCTTCTGCTGAAGCCAGGGATGACATTCAATATGCAAAACAGCCAATACGGCCTAAACACAGACCAGTCAAAATGCATTAAACAACCCCAATCACATAGTGCACACTGGTACAGCCCAGGTAAGGGCTATGACTTCTAAACAATAGAGACCCTGTCTCCATTTTGAACAGAGGGAACTGCAAAGAGCTAGGTGTGTTTTACAGAATCAGATGGAAAAAAATACTGTGAAAGTTCCCTTTGTCTCTGTCATCCTTCCTGTGGCTTCATGTTACAGTGATTTCCAGACTCCTGGCAATCATCTTTTCCCTGTTAGACTCAACATCTATGTGCAAGAGTGATCCCCCAAAATAACACTCTGGACACAGATTTGGCCAAAGGAAGACAGTCAGTCCAGTTCAGTCTGTACTTGACCAAAGGATGACTTCTTTAAGTCCTCCAGGCTCCACAGGCACAGATGTGTATATCTAGGAGTTTCTCTGCATGGACTGGTACAGGAACTGGCAGTCCTCAGCAGGTGTTCCACCTTCATGGAATCTTTGTTTCTTCTCCCTCCTGCCTATAGGTCTAACTGGAACAGAAGGCCAAGGCTTGTCACAG